ATAATTTATTATATTAACGGTATATCTAAAATGCTTTTATCTCTAATGCTCTTTGTGGTGAAAAATAAAAGTAAAGGATAACAATCATATTTCTCCAACCACAAATTGTAAAACTTGGAGATGGCTGTGACTTTGCAGAAGAACTTAATTAAGCTTCCTGAAACCAATCAACCTTTTATGTCTGTGGCTCGTATTTTAATTCGCCGAGCTTGAATATAAATCAAACACTCGCAGATTTTAAAGAAAATATATATGCAAGTGAAGATCCGTTATTTTAATCCTATTTGTATAGGAAATTGTTTAAATAAATTATTTATTCTCCTTTCTTTTTTGTTTCTACTCTTTCTTCTTCTTTCTGATTAATTTCCTAATTTTTTTTCTATTTCATTCATATTCTGTTATTTTTCTATTATATTTTTTTTATTATTTTGTTATTATTTATATTAATATATTTTATTATTATTTTTATCATTATTATTATTTTTATTATTATTATTATTATTATTATTATTATTATTATTATTATTATTATTATTATTATTAAAAATTAATTATTATTGTTATCATTAATAATTATCATTGTTCTAATATAAAAAAATTACACTTGTCTATTTTGTAAAATATTTTTTTTAACACACTTATTTTCTTTATAGTTTTCAAATTTTTTGCATTAAAATAAACGCTCTGCAATTTTTCAAGTTCACGATCACATTAAAGAGAAATGGAGAAAAAAAATTAAAATATAGACATATAAAAGTAAAAAGGGTTCTTTCTGTCTTTAACGGAAAACACATAAAAATAATATACAAATGAAAAAAAAAGAACGTAAGAGAGAAAGAGAAATCTCTCGCATTAAATGAAAATGAGAAACGTGAGAAGGAACCGAAAATACATAATTGACCCTGGGACTTTTATTTTTTTAAATGCCTTTAAACTACGTGAAAATAAAAAAAAACCGTATTATATAATATTGAATATTATAACTCGTCATAGGAAGGTTACAGGTGAACATTTTTAATGCCATTGAAAGGTTCATTTGTAGTGAGTAGAGAAAAGAAATAAAGTTAAGAAAAATTAAGTAGAATGAGAGAGAATTTAAAGAAAAATTAATATTTTAAGCTTTAAATTTAATATTTGAAGTAATTAATTTAATTTTTGGTATTATTTCGCAATTTTGGTATTTTACCTTATTATTTAGTATTTTTCCTTATTATTTGGTATTATTTGATATTATTAGCTATTTTTTTGTATTATTCGGTAGTTTTGGTATTTTTTGTATTTTCTCCTTTTAATTTGCATTATTTAGTATTTTTTCCTATTATTTGGTACTTTTTTGAATTATTTCCGATTGTTTTAAATTATTTGGTATTATTGGGTATTATTTGGAATTATTTGGTATTATTTGGCAGTATTTTCTAATTATTTTGTACTAATTTTGTACTATTTTAAAATTCACTATTTTAGAATCCACTATTTTAAACACTGAACTAATAATATTAAACCTCATTTTAATTACCAAAAGATAATTATATTTTCGTTTTGTCTTAAAATTGTTTAGAAAATAATTTAGAAAAAGAAATTCAATTGCTCGCCTCTGTAAAATAGGTTTCATCAAAAAGAAATTTGCAATATACAAAGACAAAATGTTCCTTTGATATTGAAATGAATCAATGACTATCTCAGTTTCGTTATTTTATTTTTTATTTTCTCTTTATTTTTATCTTAAGAAGACTTGTAATACACTTATTCGGTAGTTTAAGGATTTTCTTTTTATATGCAAATCCATTAATCGATACGTAGTTATAAAAGCAAAAGAAAAGTCATTTTATAGTTCCCAGCAAATGAATTTTTATAGAATTTAATTCTCAACTGGCAATTGACACACTGCGAGAAAATAATTGAAAACTATTTTCAAAATTTATTAGCAACAAAATTTTTACTTTCTGTCTTAAAAAAAAAATATTTTCTTTTCGTTTATTATTTTATTTTTCGTTTATTATTATTATATTCTTTTCTTATTAATTTTTTTTTTATTTCACGAAATATTTATTCGTGAAATATATTATAAGTTAATTACAAAAAAGAATTTGTTATATTATTTAAAAAGGAAAAGTTTTCTTTTTCGTAATTGATGATTTTTTCTTCACGGAAAGTATTAATTAAATTATTTTAATTATTACGAGTTTTGTCCGATTAGAATTCGATTCATATCAGTAAAAATTAATTACTCCCTTCTTATCTCAACAAAGGGAAATTTATGCTTTTGTTAAGGGAAAAATGAAAATTATTTGAATTAACAAACCACTCATAAATCTCTCAGTTGTTTTAATTTTTTTCCTTTTATTTTCCGCATTGTAATTTCGATGAAAATTAAAAATTTTTTATTTTTTTTAAATTAATTATTAGAAAGTAGAAACTATATACTATTTTTTTAAGTTATTTTTCAGCTGTCGTTTTCGATTTTCTAGTTTTCGATTTTAGTTATTTTTTAGTTTTTATTTTTAGAAAATAAGTAGAAGTTTAGAAAGTAATTTCTAAAAAAAAAATATTAAAAACTAATTTTTAATTGCAAATGAAACTAAAAACTTATTTTTGGTAACAAAAAAAGACTGAAAAGTAATTTCCACTTGAGAAAAAAAAGGAAAAGTGATTTTTAGTTGTAAAAATATTATAAAACTAATATATAGTAACGAAATCAATTAAAAAAATATTTTTCGTTACAAGAAAATAGTAAGCGCAGTAAGTTTTAGTTGGAAGAAAATACTAAGAAGTAATTTTTGCAGCAAAAAAAATACTAAACAATAATTTTTTTGTAAACAAAGTAATAAAAACTAGTTTTTAATTATAATGAAAACTAAAAAATTATTTTTTGGTTACCAAAAATATTAAAAATTAATTTTTTGTTAATAAAATAAATAAATAAAAGAAAATAATTACTAAAAGTAATTTTCAGTTCCATAAAAACTAGAAAAATAAGTTTTATTTACAAAAATATTGTTAAATTAATTTTTAGTTACAGAAAATACTAAAAGCTTATTTTTAGTCACAAAAAAACTAAAAACTTATCCTTGGGTTACAAAAAAATACTAAAAAGTAATTTTTTAGTTGCAGAAAATATTAGAAATTAATTTTTAGTTACAGAAAATACTAAAAGATAATTTTAGTCACGAAGAAAAGTAAAAAAACTAGAAACTTATCTTTGGTTACAAGGAAAATACGAAAAAGTAATTTTTTAGTTGCAGAAAATAATAAAAAGTAATTACTAAAAACTTATTTCTGGTAAGAAAAAAATCAAAAAGTAATTTTTAGTTGAAAACAATAATGATTAATTTTTAGTACAAAGAAAAAGAAAACTTATTTTTGGTTACAAAGAAATTAGTTTTCCTTTTAGTTATTTTTTAATTTTCGATTTCGGGTATTCTTTAGCTTTTGATTCTTTTAGTTTTCGTTTTTAATTTTTTTTTTATAGTTTTCGTTTGCAGTTACATATTTTCTAGTTCTCGGTTTTTTTTCGTTTTCGTGTTTAGTGGTTTCTTAGTTTTCATTTTTAGTTAGTTTATGTTTCAATAAAACAATTCTAAATTGAATTAATATTTGAAAATAAATTTTCTTTTTTCTCTCCAAACGTGTGAGTGAAAATAAAATATTTTTTTTCTTGACAATGTACAAATTATTTATGGAGCAATGTAGCTTTTACGAGATAAATTGATATTAATGTTATAACCGAAAAATAATACAATGAAATTGATTTATCTATTGTAACCAACGTGAGGTCGTGGGACCACGGCTAAAATGAAATTTACTGCGAATTTCATCATTAAATTTCAAGATTCATTCATCCCTGACCAGAATATTATCTGCTATCATGTTAAGTTAATTATAAAATATTCTACTTTATCAAATTTTCCGATAAATAAAAATATTTAATCAGAATATTGTTAATAATTTCACTTTGTTTTCTATTATATTTCAATTTTTGGGGAGTTTATATTATCAATTTTCCCAATGGGAAAATTTACTCAAAATGTAAATTTCAAAACTCGTTAAAATACATCAAATTTCCATTAGGAAAAGCTTTAAGTTTTAGAAATTTGGTATTTGAAAGCTTCAACTTTAATACCTTGTATCTGCAAAAGATTCAAGTTTGTGAAGCCTGCTGCTTTCGCTTTGAAGTTTAAAGAATATGTAAAATTTTTCAATATAGCAAACTTTGCATTCTCTATCTGATAAAATAATAGAGAAAATAAATTTTTCCTTTTATTGAGACGATCGGATATTTAAAAAATTTTAGAAGTAAAAAATAGTAAGAAAAAAAGTTAATTGGGAATTTTCCCAATTCCAATAATGGTAAATTTTACCAAATTCAATTTTACTTTTTTTGTCTTTGATTTAAAGAATCGGATAAATTTCATTTCAATGTTTTCAAAAGTTTTTAATTGTCAATAATACATTTTTCATTTATTTTTCTGTTTCAATTAAATGATTAAATTATTATTTAAATATTAATTAATTTATTTTACTAATTTATTTTTTATATAGTCTATTTAGTGTCTAATTGAAGTCTAGTTTTTTATTATCAATAAAAATTAATAAAAATAAATAAAAATATACAAATTAAAATAAATTAATTAATTAAAATAATAAAATTATTATTTAATAATTAATTTATTTATATCTTTTTATTTACTTTTTTTTTATTCATAGTTTTTATAAAGTTTACATGAAGTATATTTAATTATTAATTAATTATCAATTCATTATTAATTTTATCAATTTATTTAATAATTATTATTCAGTAACAAAATTCGGCGTAAAAATTAAAATTTGCAAACTATCGGTTTGCAATGATTAAAATATAATTTCCAACTAAATAATTAGTGAAAAGAAAATGAAAAATTAGAAGTTTTGGAATTTTTCTCTAAACACTTGGTTGTCCTCAATTTTTGAGTTTCATCAATTTTTTTCCCTACTAAGTAAATATTTCGTTCTTCAAGACTTACCTTTTTTCTTGTTGAATAAAAAATCGGTGGAGAGTTTTGAAATTTTTTTGGAAAGTCAGCCAAAAAAAAAACGGGTGGAATTTTTTTTGTTTTGCAGAAAATTAATGGTCCTGGTGCAAATCTGTCACAAGAGAGCTTCTGATTTTTCTCAAGTAGCCAAGTCAGCGTGACAGACAAGAGCAGACTGACGCTCCGCGTGTTTCAAATCTATACGTAGACCGGTGTGAATGTGACGTCACACAAGCTCAGAGCCAATGAAAAGTAAGAGCTTGCAAGTTACCACGAGTAGAAAAGGATAGATGGGGTGAGGGGGGATTTTGTGATCCCACCTCCGCAAAAAAGGGAGTTTGCACCTGAGTCACCTGGATGACCACTAATTCGTTCTTCTTCTTCTTCTTCCTCTTCTTTTTTTTTCTTTCTTTTTTCTTCTTCTTCTTCTCCTCCTCAATCTTTCCCACGTGAGTTTCTTAAAAGAACTTTGTACCTCGAGATCTTCTAAAGTTTCTACTTTTTTTTTCTCTTTGAATCTCAAAGCTTTCTGCTATTACATAATTGAGACGCGAAGTAACTAATTATTTAGATAGCGAATTTAGACAAAAAAAAAAAAAACGGAAATAAAATTAGAGTAAAGAATAGAATTGTAAAATCACATATAGAGAGTGTTAGATAAATTATTAAAGTGAATTTTAGTTCTGATGAATATTGAAACTTATTTTTAGTTCTGGAAAAAATTAAATAACTTTTCTGTTACAAAGAATAGTAAAATGAATCTAGTTTGAAAAAAATATTAAAAAGTAATTTTTGGTTACAAAAATACTACAAACTGATTTTTAGCTGCAAAGGAATATTAAAAATTAATTTTTAGTTACAGAAAATAACAGAAATTAATTTTTAGTTGCGAAACAAAATAAACACTTATCTTCGGTTATAAAGAATTACTAAAAAGTAATTTCTAGTTGCAACAAAATACTAAAAACTAATTTTTATCTATAAAATAACTTAAATAATTTGTTTGGTTATAAAAAAAATACAAAACAGTAATTTACAGTTCCAAAAAATACTGAAACATAATTTCTTTTTCAAAAGAAAAATTAAAAATTAATTTTTAGTTACAGAAAATACTAAAAACTATTATTCAGTCACGTAAAAAACTAAAAACTGTTTTTGGATTAGAAAGCAGTACTAAAAAGTAATCACTAGCTGCAAAAAATACTAAAAATTAATTTTTAGTTACAACGAAAACTAAAAAGTCACTTTTGGAAACAAAAAATACTAAAAAGTAACTTTTTGTTGCAAAAAAACTAGTTAGAGTGAAAATTAAAAATTTATTTTCGGTGAGAAAAAATACTAAAAAGTCATTTTTAGAAGCAAAACAATTCTAAAATGTAATTTCCAGATCCAAAAAATACAGGAAAAAATTTTTGTACAAAAAAATATTGTAAATTAACATCTATTTACAGAAAATACTAAAAAGCACTTTCCAGTTTCGAAAAAATACTAAAAAATTATTTTTAGTTGCAAAGAAAACTAAAAACTTACTTTTGGAAACAAAATACTAAAAAGTAACTTTTTGTTGCAAAAAAAAAGTTAGAGTGAAAATTAAAAATTTATTTTTGGTGAGAAAAAATACTAAAGAGTAATTTTTAGAAACAAAAAAATTCTAACAAGTAATTTCCAGTACTAAAAAAACTGAAAAAAAAATTTTTTCACTTAAAAAAATTAAAAATTAATTTTTAGTTACAGAAAATACTAAAAACTTTTTTTTTTATTACAAAGAAATATTAAAAAGTAATTACTAGTTGCAAAAAAATACTAAAAACTAATTTTTAGTTACAAAGAAAACTGATAACTTACATTTGGAAACAAAAAATACTAAAAAGTATATTTTATTCGCAAAAGAATACAAAATCTAATTTTTAGTTAAGAAAAATGAAAAACTTATTCTTGGTAACAAGGAAATACAAAAAAGTAATTTCTATTTGTAAGAAAATTCTAAAATCTAATTCGTATTTGCAAAAAAAATACTTAAAACTTATTTTTGGTTACAAAAAAATACTAAGAAGTAATTTTTGTTGCAAGAAAATAGTAAAAACTAATTTTTATTTGCAAAATAAAACTAAAAACTTATTTATGCTTACAAAAAATACTAAAAAGTATTTTTTTGTAAAAAATAATACTAATAACTATTTTTCATTTCCGAAATAAAAATGTATGTTTTTGATTTCAAAGAAATGCTAAAAATTAGTTTTTAGTTACAAAAACAGCTTAAAATTAATCAAGACAAACATTAGGCAATTTTTTTTTTTTTTTTTTTGAGCTAAAATTATAATAACTAGAGAGATTATTTTTATTTATGATTAATTTGATATTTTACTCTCGTGCATAGAAAGAATTTTTAACAGTATAAGAGAATACATAATGGACGTAAGAAAGAACGATAATTATTCCAGTTTTATTGTAGTTCGTCGTTGGTTTTACTCTAGAAAAACTATAAACGCTCGCAGGAGAATTCATTTTTTCTCTATATGTATGAACTCTATACTTTTTTCAATGAAATTCTTTAATGATCTCAACGTGAATGAAGATGCGAGAGCTTTTTTTCAGTATTACTTATTTGATTAATAATATTATTAATTATAATAATAAATTTTTATGCAACTAATAATTAGGTACATAATGAATTATTTGTGTTATCAGTTAATTAAAGAATTAATTTTTATTAATTATTTTGGTAAAAAAATAATTTTCTAATTAATTATTTAATTAAACAATATTTGTTACACAACTAACAATAATAAGAAACAATAATTATAATAATTTCTTGGTTAATGAATTATATAAATTACTAATTAATTAATCATCTTATTAATTGTTTATTAAACTAACTACGTATTTACTTAACAAATTGTTTAATCAATTAATTAGCAAATTTATTTTTTGCTTAGCTGAACAATTAATTAATTAATTTTGTAAATTAGCAAATTTATTGATTAAACAATTCGTTAGCTAAATATGTAGTTAGTTTATTAAATAATTAATTAGCTGATGAATTAATTAGTAATTAATATAATTCATTAACCAAGAAATTAGTTAATTATTTACCAAATGAATTAGTTGTCAATTTGAATTAGTTAATTATACAATTTATTAACTAACTAAGTAATTTGTCAATTGGCCAATTAAACATTTAGTATAAATAAGTACGTTCGTTAAACAAATAATTAGCTGACTAATTAAATAGTTATTTGAATAATCAAATAACTGAGTAATTAGATAATTAAAAAATTAATTAGCTGGTAAATCAATTAGTAAATTATACAATTAATTAGCTAACTAAGAAATTATTTGATTAAATAAATAATTACCCAATTAATTATCTGTTTAATAAATTTTCTAATTACACAATTAATTTGCTAACTAAATAATTAGTAAAATTTAATATTCAAGAAACGTGTTTTATTAAATTAAATTAATTTCCTTTTTTTTAAAGAAAAAATTGAAACTAGTTATCGAACCAATGAAATCGTTACAAAAACTTTTAAAGGCGACATCAATAAAATCGTTAACTACAGGTATTACCAGAAACATAGTAGCCAGAGACTGAAATACTAGAAATAAAAGAAAATTACCAGTTTGCTTAATAACAGTAAGATAACGACTTCTTCTACAATTTCGCTAATTAAATCATTATTTTGATTTTAAATTATGTAACATTGTTCAAAGTCCATATATAAAAAAAATATTAGGGGCGGAATAATTATGACATATTTTTATTTTATTCTCCACTTTTTTCTTAAATAAACCCTTTATTTTCTATACAAATTTGCTAATTTTTCATACTTACTGTTAGTTGAGGATTAGGAAAATGAGAATATTAGACATACTTGGAAATAATTTGTTATTTACGTATTATTTTTATATTATTAATTATTCTTATGCTTGTATCCTTATATTCGTATTCTTATGTATTCTTACAAACGTATATATTTGAAAGATTGTTTTGTTTAATTAGTGATTAATTTGAATAATTCTCCTTATTCTCCATTGTGATAATCTGGTTAAATTTACAGTCCTTTGTTTTAGCCTTGTGTTATAACACCTGCTTCTTGAAGACGATGTCTCAATTATTTTTTTAGACAAGCTTTTTACATTTTGAAAGAAATTTTTTTAAATTTAAAAAATAATGTGTTTATTTTAGTAGAAAAACATTTTATTCTTTACTTAAAAATGAATTTTATTTAAAAATGACACTTTACATTCCAATTATAATTAATTACAATTGCAATTCTTTACAATTATTTGATTAAAATAACCAATAATTGTCTATTATTAAATAAATATTTACTTGAATCAAATAATTTTTATTTAAATCAATTAATTGGTATTTGAACCAATAATTTGTATTTCTAAGCAAATACTGTTTAATTGATGCAAACAAAAATTATTCGATTAAAGTAAATATTTATTTGATAATAGACAATTATTGGTTATTTGAATCAAATAAATTTTTTTCTAGTGTAGAGAATTTATTTTTCTTTAATTAAAACAAAATTTCAATTCACTTTTTAAATCAAAAATAAGTTTATAGTGAAAAGTCGTCATATTTAACTAGTGACTATAATTACACAAATGATCCATAAATAGTTATTATAATTTTCAACTAAAATTTTAATTTACATAAAGGTAAGAATTTTAATTCTTACTATTATATTCTATCCGCAATTAATTCTAAAAAAAAATACTAAAAAGTAATTTTTTATGCAAAAAATGACAAAACTACTTACTTTTAGTTACGAACTAAACTAGAAACTTATTTTTGGTTACAAAAAACCATAAAAAGTAATTTTTAGTTAAAGAAGCTAAAAACTGATTTAAGGCTACAAAGAAATACTAAAAATTCATTGCCAGTTACAAAAAATACCAAAAGCTAATTTTTAGTCACGGAAAAAAAATAAAAACTTATCTTTGGTTACAAAGAAATACTAAAAAGTAATATATAGTTGCAAAAAAATACTAAAAACTAATTTTCAATCACAAAAAAGACTAAAAAGTTTTCTTGGATTACAAGGAAATACTAAAAAATAATTTCTAGTTACAAAAATATACTAAAAACTAATTTTTAGTTACAAAGAAAATTAAAAACTTATTTTTTGTATAAACAAAAAATACTAATTAAAGTAATTTTTATTTGCAACAGAGT